GGCCTGCGAAAAATGGTAACATGCAAATAACTACAGTAAATATAAAACCGTACATGCAGAATAACTACAGTAACTATATAACACATGCGTGCGAAACCTAAGAAATAAAAGAAAAATAAACGTAATAAATAAACTAAACTAAGTGATACCTTGAAATATTTTTACTCTTGCGTCAGTAAACACTGTAGTGTTATACTGTTATCACAAAAATAATTATGGATTGTTTGCAGTATAATCAGAAATAAGCACGGTATTAATAATCTATAAATAAACACAAATATAAGAGATGCTCACTGAACGAATTCTATTCAAAGACTGAACTAAAAAGATTGGCGCGTGGCACGAACGCCGTGGAAGGTTTGGGGACGAAATCGGACGAAAGAGGAGAGCCACGTGGACGAAATTTGAAATGTGGTCACAATTGAAAACGGCCGAAAGAGCGAAGCGACGAAAGTCAAAGTATCGCTTTAGTAGGTTCCAGAAAGGGGGCGTGGTGAGGGCGGAGCGAGGCCACGCCGGGCGGGAGGATAAAAGGTGGCCCGGGGACGAGAGCTCGGGGCTGTTGTTGGAAGTGGACCCCCCCTCGCCGTTCGTCTCCTACGCCGTCTCGACCACCCTTAGACGCCGCCGCTAGCGAGGAAGCCTGCCAGCTGTACGAGCTAGCCAGTGCCGTCAGCAGAGACGGATGTGTGTGTGACGAGTGTGTCAGCACGTAGGGTGTCTGTCGTTCCCCGACGTGTATAATAAAGAAGGTGCCTTCACGAACCCCGTCTCCGAAGTGAGTCACTACACAAGCGTGCGGCATGGTTGGAGGTAAATGCGTGCACCTGATGAGTGTTCCCATTGAGTTCGTGCAAAATTTCGATTTAAAGCTTTCGTGACTGCAGGGATTCATCTTCTTGGTTCTCTCGGTAAAGCCACGTATAATGGAAATAATAAGAAAATAATTAAAATAAAACATAAGTGCTCGCTCGCATCGCTGCCAGCGGAAGGGCCTCCACTGGAGCTCTAGGAAAGCTGCTCTAGAGCCAGTGGCTCTTAGCATCGACTGCAGCCTTGTACCCCGTTTGGCTCTTAATCGTAGAACAGTGTACAATGTTAATAAAGCCACATGGGGTTTGATGGAACAAAGTAAGTTGTTTAATGCGTCGTAGGCTTTCGCGACCAATGCCATCCGTAATACAGGTTTTTTTTTGGAGTCAGATCGCGTAAATATATAAACGTGTCGTTAAATTGCCACGTTCTGTTTACGTGACAACCCCTTATTAATTGGTTGTGTCGGGTGGTGGCAGGTTTAACGACACATTTATACATTTACGCGATCCTACCCAAAAAAAATAACCTGTATAGTGAAAGTAAGTTGTAACTTACGCGCCCGTTCTTAATTCGTGTTTTCGATTATTTACCTTCGAACAAAGATTTGGCCACGTCTCGCTACCCCCCCCCCCCCCCATCCCAGAAAGGGCATCTCGCAGCCCCAGGTGGTGCGCGATGCACCTCCAGGTGAAGAAGAAGTCTATGGCACGAGTTCAGACGCGAAGAGATGGAACCACCTGGGATTTGGCGTTAGAACTTCCAGAGTAAAAAAAAAATACGTAGAGCAAGAGTTTGACCGTCTAGAATATGCGTTGGAACTTCTACTGTGAATGGTTAAGAAGAACCCCCACTGCTCCAGAGGGAGCTGAACAACATCAGGCAGTCCAAACAACCCACGTGGCCTCACCCTGGCTTCTTAAGATTGGTGTCACGACACCTCGCATGGACAATCAAGCAGACTGACACTTTTAAGACATTAACCATCACAGAGCCACTCATTCTCAAATCTATTTCCAGCGAATCGGTCGCTCGCAGCACTACCGACGTGAGTGCAGCCCCCCCAGCTCTAGAGTGCTAGGTATTTGGCCTACTCTTCCACGCTGGGCCAGACGTCTTGGAAGAGGTGGGAGTACTCACACTTTACCCAGTGCCGGATTAAGCTAGTGTGGGGCCTGTAGCATATGTTGTTACAAAGGTTCAGTGACTCTGCACTTGCTCAATTACTATAGTACTATACAGCCTTCAACTTTTATGAACGGCTGCATGTTTAAGGTTAGCGATTTGTCGTATTATCTAGCTGTATAGCAAATAAAAAAATACAAAGACTTTACTATGCAAGTAAAACATAAGTTTTTTTATGGTTATTTATTTATTTAGGGCCCCTTTATAACATACTAGCAGGAAGTACCCGGAATTGCCCGGGTCTTAAAAATATGTCAAAACTACTCTTTAAAAAAACCTGCTATGATTACATCAGTGCATACTGTGGTGGTACCTGCTTTCACTGCAGCAGTGCATACTGTGGTGGTACCTGCTATGATCAAAGCAGTGTATACTGTGGTGATACCTGCTATGATTACAGCAGTGCATACCGACTGTGGTGGTATCTGTTATCACTACAGTAGTACATGCTGACTCTATATCAGTATTTATCGACTCTATAGCACAAAGTAGTCACCTGACAGAGTGGCGTGGTGAGGCCTAGTCCCGTGCAGAGCCTTCGGCCTCGCCTAGATTGTCCAGCCGGCCGAGGTGGCACCTTGGCAGTCTGGGGCTGGGCTGTTACCCCTGCCCCCCAGGCACGATGTCCTTGGCCGCTCTGCAGTAATATCTATGGCCTATAGTGGTAGCATATATCGACTGTATAGTCGTAACAACTGGATGCATCGTGGTGGGGGGGACATGAGACAGTGAAGAATTTACCTGAGTGTTGTGTATTTTTAAATCCTTTATATTAAGTTCACTCGCTTGCTTGCTTACGACCGTGCAAATCTTTCGCTCGTTTTTTAACCCACTTCCGGTGATCCAATCGAGCTGACATTTTGCACACAGACTCGTTGTGCGAGACAATTAATGTTCGTGAAAATTTTTTTCCAAAATTTTACACTTTTAGGACAAAAATATTATATTGAATTACCAATTGCTTAATGCTGCCATGCAATCATCTGACCCATAGGTGGCAGCCATCTCAAGCCAGAGGACGAGAGGACTCTAGCCGCCACGCATATAAAGGATTTATAGTGAAAAACTTTGTTTTTACGGGTTATACTTGTTGTTGAATCCCCACGAGCAGTGTAGTGTAGCGAGTAGTTTAGCTGTCTGTCAAGCCACCCTCCTGCGTTCAAATCCCACGACAAATTAGAATTCGTGCAACATTAGTCTCAATTCGCATTCCAGTAAAGTCCCCCAGGCTTGCGGAAAACACGACCTTTAGGGGCCGTCCATAAATGACGTCACGCGATTTTGGACGATTTTGGACCCCCCTTCGTCACACGACGCCACAAAAAGTCAGACCCCCCCCTAAAATATGACGTCACAAAGCTCTGCCCTCCCCCCCCCCCAAAATAAAACATGCTTCAAATCGCTTTAAACTATTGTCATTGTGGTGCGTATTTAATGTGGCGCTGCACTCTGATGTTGTAGGAGAAAACATTTATTAAAAAGTCTATTTAATTAAGTAGAACGCGTTGTCTATATTTATTTAAAGTTGCGCATTTTGATGTGACGTCACATTACTCAACCACCCCCCCCCCTCGTCACACCGTCACAAATGTCTGACCCCCCCCCCCCCCAGGTGCGTGACGTCATTTATGGACGGCCCCTAAGGCTGCGGGTGGATCTCGCTCCACCACAACGCTGCTTTTCATTGAACCCCGAGTATCACGTGGAATTGTTTGTAGCGTTACGTAAATCTCAACCCTGTTGCAGCATTACGTTATTGCTTGTTTTCTATGCTTAAACTATGTTTCCCCCCCCCCCATGTTTCTATCACTAGTTTTCTTCATTTTAAGTTTATTTCACGAGTAGTTTTGCTCTACGTACTTTGTTACAGGTAGGAACAACAGTTCCACACTGCCCACCAGGGATTATTTGTCTGTCTGTCGTGCATAGCCACGCCTTCGATGTGTTTCATAGAGCGCTTCGGGCAGGCTCAGCACCACGTGACGCACCACCGCACGCAGCTAGCACCGCGTGACAGATCGCAGGAATGCACCGTCCAACCAAGTTCCTACCTCCCTTGTCCTCTAACGATCAAGGCACGCAGAGCCGGCCCAGCCACTAAGCGACCCTTGCAATTGCAAAGGGCCCCGTGGCCAGCAGAGGGCCCCCGAGTCACTGCTAGCGAGTGGGTGAAAAAAAAAATCATACATCAAAGGGGCCTCCAACCAAATATTGCTTAGGGCCCCCGGCTCTGAAGGCACGGGTCACAATATCCTGGTTAGGAAATGGTCACTTTACCTTTGCGAGCATTTACAATTCCTAACACTGGTTAAGATTCTGAATCCAGATTGACGTGAACCTTGTCACATGACCATGTGGAATAGAGGCAACCGTTGTATAATGCAATCGCCATAATTAATGTAAGCGTCAATCCAGCCAAGCTAAAACACCAGAAAACAGAGCAACTAATGTAGTTACTGTGAAGTTTAGCACCGTGTGACAAGGGAGCGTTACTATGCATGTACCCTGACATGAGACCTATAATGATCATAAGGCCAAGCTGCACATTGTTAAAGCGCAAGTGTTGGTCATTCTTTGAAACCGCTTCCCAGCATTATTAGCGAGATATCCAGTGTGCCAAGTATTTGGTAATGTTTGGACAGGACATTTCCATCCAATTGCAGCAAAAGGCCGTTCAGGAATGTATTGCAGTTGCCAAAAATAATCCAATCTTAAGTTGTGAATAACTTGGGTCATTTGACAATGCTAGAATCTAGTGGAAAAATGAGATGCCACAGAATCGGATTCAATGGCCATGTAATGGGGAATAAACTATAAAGCTCAGTGGAGCAATACGTTGTCAACAGCAAATGGTAAAATACCCACATTTGTAAAACATTAAAAGGCTAATTTCTTACATGTAACCACAAAGAGAAAATTGCATTGCAGAAGGCTTTTATTGCATAGTCAGCCATAATTATTATTTTTAGAACATTTGATCAAACAGGGTACAAAATGCTGCTCTATTTCTCAGAAGCACGGGCGGTCATTTTGGTGTAGGTGAGCCCCTTGTAGACGCCACTCAGGGGAACGTCAAAGACAGCACCGTTCATGCAGGTGATGCGCAGCAGGGCCGTGTACGGGAGGTCGATGTTTGCACGCCCGATTTTGGCGACAACAGTGACAGTCTTGCGCGGAGGAACCGAGACAGGGAACGAGAGAGTTTCCGTCCGCTCCTCAGAGTTCTCCAATGCGTGCGTGGTCTCAGAGCTCAAGGTGAAGCTGAACCCGGTCTCCACCTCCATAATTAAGGGAATGCCTGCAGACACCTTCAGGCTGAAGGTGGACTCGATGTTGTTGGTCGTAGACCACGACGACTTTTTGGTTATCGTCTTGGAGCTCTCGAAGGTGTGAGACTGCACGACGCTGGTGTCGTTTATGTACTCCATGTCTTTAATCTCCTCCATCTGCACGTTAGGCAGAACCTGGTGCATAGTTGGGTACTTCATGTTTTGGATCACCGACGACTTTACAGCATTGATGAAAAGGAAGCCCATGGAGTCGATGTCAGCCCCTGCTCGGCCCTGAACGCCCAAGCAGATGCCAGAGCCCACGTCGATCTTGTACTCGGTCTTGAGCCCCCAGTCCGTCATCTTGGCAAAGAACTCGCGGTTGCAGCTCGTTCTGAACTTTATGGCACCCAGACGCGTGCCGGCCCCATTGCCCCACAGGGAGAGCTGCGACATGAACTCGCCCGACTGGAATTCAAACTGCTGAGCAGAGGAGTCCACGGTGCCGAATTTCTGCCTTTGCCCGTCAGTCAGCCACACCTCCACACCCCTCACTTGCCAGCCTCCAACGCTCACGGAGAGTTTCTGCAGTGTGGCCGCATTGCTCCTTCCATCAAACGAGAAGGCATTTCCACCTTGGCCTCCAATGATGTGCAGCGTAAGTGGGTACGACATTATGTATACCTGGAAGAGACAGAAGCAAGGGAGATCGTGGCAAGCATGTTTAAATGGAAGGCACTTTATTAGAAGTAAATCGTGATAAATGTGGTTTAACACTTTAAGTATGCAAAATAAACGCCACGCTTGTACAAATCAAATGCTTTTTAAGATTTGTCAATATCTTTATAGCAATATTTGAGAAAAAAGTGCACACGTCACAACCCACCACGGAACAATTAGAAATTAAGCTTTAGGCACAAGTGCGCACATGCTCTTGGAACTGCGAGGCAGAGGAGCAACAAAACAGCTTCATATTTTGCCTTCGCTCCCCATTTGAAAAGCTGCAACAATCAAGTGGGATATGAAGCATGGTGCATTCCACAACCCACACGACCACAGTAGGTCATCATTCAGTAGCGGCATAACAAGTACCACGCGCTACATTTGTGACCAGCAGGACAAATACCTTTCTTCTTCGAAAAAGCAAAGCTTCGACAGGCAATCCAGGCACTTGGCTGCAGTCGACCTACATGGATTATAGGAACAGAAGCAGACGGGTGATGGTGGTGTGGGGAAACTAGATTAAACATAACGATCCAAGAAAACTAAGTTTGCAGATTCCTATGAAAGAACCACCCTGGTGAAAAATGCCTCAGAAGTCTGTTAGAGCCAGCACAATCCAGATGATCACCAGGCGTCGAATCGTATTAGGCTTGGGGCAATATATGATAAGGACGGTTTGCAAAAACGTGTCAAATTAGACAACTTTTGCATTTTACACAATTTTAAGTGCATTTCAGACAATTGCCATGAAATGTCAATAAAACTTTGAAGCATAGTCCGCTTCCTGTATACACCCCTCAAATTTCAGGTCAATAAAAAGTAGTTTCCCCATTTCTTTAGACACTATGCTACGAACCAAAATACAACATTCTTAAAGGCGGTAATTAGCCGGAGCAAGTGAGAATATGGAATGGGCGAGCTGGAACGGTTTAAAGATAAATGTGGGCGACCGAACCAGCAATTACTCTTTAATGGCTTTACTGCAAACCAATATACAACGGCAGAAGCAAACTTAAAGCAGGTTACGAAAAAAAACGCGCCCAACTACATACAACAGGGTCTGAAGAGAGAGCACAATTGCACAATCCAGATAATCATTATGGTGTTGAATCTTGTTAGGCTTGTGGCAAGGGTCACATTTTATTCGTCTTACATTTTAAAACAATAAAGGGGAACACCACGATTCAAAACGGAATTCAGAGAACTCCCATGAACTGTGAATCAGAGCTGGTGTTACAGGACTTTTTAGCTCAAGCCATACAATCCCTCAGATTTCAGGTCAGTAAAAAAATTAGTTACCCGGTAGACTGGCACACGACGCTCTGAACAAAGTAGATTCCTAATTACGATAATATGCGTGGAGGGTGAGAATTACAAATGGTACCGAGAAGGGATGCTTGAGAAATTACAGCGAGACGAGGCGCTAGTGAACTTTTTGCGAACGCTTACAACATAGATGGACAAGGCCACAGCAAATCATATTACACTAGGGTCCGCACTTACCTCTCAGCCAAATCCGTGGGGAGCAGATAGTTTATGATGGTTCTGCCCTCCTTTATATACAAGGGAGCGCGCATCACGTGGTACAATCACTTGGGCGTGCCTTCCCATCCCTGGCCAATCATGGGGGTGGGAGGGATAAGGCAATCATCACGAGCCAATCAGCGCGAGGATTCGCTAATTGAATGGGTGGCGCTTCCTGCACGCGCGGCCATTTTGTGTGGGCAGCCATTATTAAGTCGAGCCACGCGCGCTGGCGCCTCGTGAATGCAATCACGGTTCGAATACGAGTCTGGTGAGAGTCCATTGAGAGAGCTTACATCACGTGGCATAATTACCCGCGCGTGTCTCTGCCCATCTTCCGCTCCAGGCCAATCACCGCGAGGATTCACTCATTGCATGGTGGCAGTTTCACGCGTGCGCTCCCATTGTGTGATCCGGCGTGGCGTGTATAAGACAAGCTACTGCCACGCGCCTCGTTAATGCAATCATGGTCCCGATACGGGTTCGTGAGAGTCAATGGAGTTGTTGATTCAAGTGATTTTAGACTTTTTGTTTAAACTCTTTGACATGGCCCCCACGTCCAAGGTCAAATTGGCCTCGCTGCCATCGCTGTCTTGAAATTCAGTGTTGATGAGTGTCTTATTAAGTATATATGTTTAAACTATACGTGCCTCATGACACTGTCTTTCATAACTAATATGTTCTAATTTTAAACCCTTTGATGTTGTCTGCCCAGTCTCATCTCAATAGGAAATAGCTTCTTAGCTCAGTGTTTTACTTAAACATCTGATTCTGATAGAATGTGTTTTCTGACATCAAATACCTTTAAATGGAATGATATGATCCAAAATCACGTAATGAGGACGTGTGAAAGGTATTGCAGCTGTTTAACGGACTTAAACGATTCAACATACGTTCATGTCCAGTCTCATTTCCTCATGATAATGGTACTTTATAATGTCACTGTAGTATGGCAACACCATTATCATGCTTAATAATCGTGTCCAGTATTAGCAGGGTGGAGCAGACATTCTTCAAACCAGCACGCAGAGACAGGTAAGCTTTGAAATCAATTTATCCACCATCACACGCAGCTCCCTCCTTCATGTAAAGTTATCTCTTCATCTACAGCTCTCTGCTTTCTTGTCTTTTGCTGACGTCCCAACTTATTACAGGTAGGAACAACAGTTCCACACTGCCCACCAGGGATTATACAGGTAGGAACAACAGTTCCACACTGACCACCAGAGATTATACAGGTAAGAACAACAGTTCCACACTGCCCACCAGGGATTATACAGGTAGGAACAACAGTTCCACACTGACCACCAGAGATTATACAGGTAAGAACAACAGTTCCACACTGCCCACCAGAGATTATTTGTCTGTCTGTCGTGCATGGCCCCGCCCCACCAGAGCCCTCCCATTGGCTTGGTGGCGCCGACCAATGGGAGCGGTGGGTTTGGGTTGGTAGAGGGGGGCACCGCCGCGACTCGGGCCAATGAGGAGACGGGAATGTTTCATTCACAAAATGGAACTGGGGGAGGGTGGCTCCTTTCATAAAATGGAAGCCTTGAAAAGAAAACAATGAACCCGTAAAAACATAGTTTTTCACTATAAATCCTTTATATGCGTGGCGGCTAGAGTCCTCTCGTCCTCTGGCTTGAGATGGCTGCCACCTATGGGTCAGATGATTGCCTGCCATCATTAAGCAATTGGTAATTAAATATAATTATTTTTTCCTAAAAAGTGTCAAATTTAGAAAAAAAAATTTCACAAAAATAAATTCTCACGCACAACGAGTCTGTGTGCAAAATGTCAGCTCGATTGGATCACGGGAAGTGGGTTAAAAAACGACCGAAAGATTTGCACGGTCGTAATCTCCGTCAGCTTCACTCGCAGCTTGGCGGCTCAGTGTGGCGATTCTTCTTAGGTGGTGCAGACCTCAGCTTGTCGATGCACGTCGCTACCCCGCGAACATCGTCATTCTGGATGACGGAAGAGCTTCTTCATTGTCGGCGTCGAGATGAGATGGGGGCCGGAGCCCTGGTGAGAGGTGGGGGCCGGAGCCCCGGAGAGATGGGGGCCCTGAGCCCTGGTGATCTGGAGGCCCTGAGCCCTGGTGATCTGAGTTGAATGGATTTTTCCTCGGCTTATATCGGGAAAATCCACTTGGTTTTTTTCGAGTTGTTCAAAGGCCGGAACTTTTTCCTTCTGTTGTGTGTGGACACATCTGCGTCCGTGTGTCGTGTGTGTGTCCGTCTGTGTGTGTCGTGTGTGTGTCTGTATGTGCTTTATTGGAGGAAAGGTTTTTTTAAAGACACAGCTGCCCGCAATAATTCTGGAAGGAGGGGTGGGGGCTTCCTCGCGAACCGGCGTAACATGAGTCATCAAACTAAACCAGACCGACGATTCGCGTTCGTACCGAGGTTACAAAATCATAATCCACGTTTTTGATTATGAATAATATTGGTCGCGAAAGCCTACACGTTAAGCGAGCTCTATAATCCCCTCCCCCGCTCTTGGCGTTTATCCTTTGTCTCATGCGGCTCCAAGCCGTATGCCTGGTCTGGAAGTTAAAATGAGACACTTTTGGTGCTTAGTATTATTGTGATTTGATTGCAAGTGACTCAAGGCATGCCGTAGCCGTGTTCACGGTATTTCATCGTGGTTTGATCTCCCTATGGGGAAATGTGCGCAAATCTTGCTGTCCGTGCTGCGGGGAGACAAAGACGTCTGTGCTCCATCGTTGGAGCACACTGCGCGTGTTTTATTTATTTGTTTATAGAAGCATCTGATTTCCTTTCTCGAGCCGTCGCCTGCTCGCCACGAACTTTTATGAGGGCCATTTCCCGGCTCTGTGTGTGCTCTGGCCGTTTATCTCGGGAAGACAAAGACGCCTGTGAGCTGCTCGCTTTCCCTGGAGTGTTGCCTGTTGGTTAATTATGATAGACTTCTCCGCCCTTAACTCCCTAGGAGATCCACTTTAATTTCGTACTTATTTTTTTAGCCTAGGGAATTTGTTTTTTGTTTAGGAGCGACCCTGACTGCCATAATAATTCTTTGATGCTTCGGCCCGGCCGCGTAGAAATTATTAAGGGTAAATAATGTCCGTATTTAATTAACAAATGATGAATCAGGACCCTGGTGCAGACTGTAGTCTGGTTTCCAATTGGAGCGAGGATAGATAATGTTTGCTTAATCTTCATGGCTAAGTTGGTAACTTTGTTTAACTAACATGGTTCAAAACCCGTCTGTGCTTTCTTGTTGTCAATGCTATTTTTTTTGTTAAGAATATAATAAATATATATTCTTCGTGGGGCCTGTCCTTGTGTCGTGAGGGGGGCTTTTTGAACAGCGGGTGTTATCCTAACACCCGCTTGCAATTCCCCCCTCCTTTTTTCTCTTGTGTGAAATTCGGGAAGGTTTTATGACATTTGATGGCTGTCTCTTTCCTGCTTTCTGGCCTTTGAAGCGAGGTGTGCACGCATCTGCTGTGGAGTTGGGAAACGGGTTTTCCGCTCGTCTTTGTTTGCTCCCAAGTTGCCACCGGGTCTATTAAAAAATTATATATGTTGGCAGAATTATTCTTAATATTAATTTTTTAAAAAGGGTATAGATACAACAGTGGGGAGGGTGGGGCTGGGTGGGGAGAGTGGGGCTGGGTGGGGAGGATAGGGTGGAGAGGGGCTGGGTGGGGAGGGGCTGGGTGGGTTGGGGCTGGTCACCCCGTGGTGCCCTTATAAAACTCAACGTTTAACCTACACACTACACTATACACGACACACTACACTTATACAGTAGGAACAACAGCTTCCACACTGCCCACCAGGGATTATTTGTCTGTCTGTCGAGCACGAATGCGCTGTCCAACCAAGTTCCTACCTGCCCACTCCGAAGGAACGTGTTTAAGACAATTAAACTCCGATCGCTCACGGTCTCAACCAACGGCGATTGGAGAAGTAACAGGCCTCGCCTAATGCGCAGTCAACGAACGTTCGCGAGCGACTGCTTCGTGTCCACAACATTTAACATAATAGGGGGGTTTTCCCCCTTTTTCTGGCAACAAAACTGAAACCTTTTTACAATGAATCATGTTTTGCATTAACCACAATACGTGTGGTCAAAATGCAAACAAAAAACACTCTGATAATAATATTGGCATTGTCTTTGAAGCTGATTGGTCCACACCAGAGACAGCTTTCTTTTGAGCCTCTGAGCCTCGTCTCAATTGGTGCTAGACCAGAGGACTCCATAAGTTCAACGCCGGTCCGAAATGCTCGCACCGATCGGAAGTGCTGAACAAGGCGACCGACTTCATGGGAACTTCTCCCGTTCCCGAGGCGTCTGCAAGTTGCAGGGAGGGGGTCCCCTTGAATCTCGGAATAGTACACGAGGCACATTGATGTCATGGCCGTGGGGGGGCATCCTGCACGTCCTGCAAGGCCTCGCCGGGGAGTGGGGGCCCCTTCGCAGCAACGAACGTCGATCGCCTCAAATCCCGCCACTCAGTGTTCAGCTCAATCACTTTCGACCGGCGATGACGTCGCGAAATCTCGCGGTGACGTCACAGCGCGATGACGTCACAACGCAACGCCGCCACCAGTGGGGAAGGGCGACCGCCCGAGTCCGAGGGTGGCAAGGGCTTCGAATCCTGGCGACGGCAAAGTTGAGTGAGAGACCAAACAGGCCGCGTGGCGAAGGCCAACGGGGGGGGGGGGGGGGGGGGGGGGGGGCAAGGCACGTAAACGCACGCAAGCGAGGGTACGGAGGCCCCAACCCTCGCCCGCACGCTAAAGCACTTCCCGCATCTCCGAGGAAGTCGAGGTTTTTGCAGAGCCACGGAGCGGTGGCGACTTTCCCAGGAATTCCTAACTACGACTACTCTTCTTCTTTGTCGTCTCCTCCTCCTCCCCCTGTTCTTCTTCTTTGTCTTCCTTCGACCCTCGTGGAAGCCGGGGTTTGCGGAATGGGGAATCTCTCACGCAGGAATTCCCGGGAGCGAATGTCTGCCTGCGGGCGAGACGGGGTTTAAAAACAAGGACTGCTTTCTCAACGAGCGCCTCATCCTCGCAGGCGTTTAACCAGCGGGCGTGGCAGGCGAGCGGCCGGATAGTGTATAGTGTAGTGTATAGTGTAGTGTAGTGTGTAGTGTAGTCTATAGTGTAGTGTATAGTGTAGTGTGTAGTGTTGTGTGTAGTGTAGTGTATGGTGTAGTGTATACTGTATAGTGTAGTGTATAGTAGTGTAGTGTATAGTAGTGTAGTGTATAGTAGTGTAGTGTATAGTAGTGTAGTGTATAGTGTAGTGTATAGTGTAGTGTATAGTGTATAGTAGTGTAGTGTATAGTAGTGTAGTGTATAGTAGTGTAGTGTATAGTGTAGTGTAGTGTATAGTAGTGTAGTGTATAGTAGTGTAGTGTATAGTAGTGTAGTGTATAGTAGTGTAGTGTATAGTAGTGTAGTGTATAGTAGTATAGTGTAAAGTGTATAGTGTAGTGTATAGTAGTGTAGTGTATAGTAGTGTAGTGTATAGTAGTATAGTGTATAGTGTAGTGTATAGTGTAGTGTATAGTGTAGTATACTAGTACAGCACGCCGGTGTGTTGGAGAACCAAGCCACAACAAGACGAGTGGTGTCATCACCGGGGAGACACACAAATTGGTGCTGAGGGATGGTGGTGACGATGGTGGTGGCGATGGTGGTGACGATGGTGGTGACGATGGTGGTGGCGATGGTGGTGGCGATGGTGGTGACGATGGTGGTGGCGATGGTGGTGGCGATGGTGGTGGCGATGGTGGTGGCGATGGTGGTGACGATGGTGGTGGCGATGGTGGTGACGACGTTAGCGTTGATGACCGCGACGACGGCGACGATGATGTTGTTCATCACCTGGCGGATTGGCTCCGGCACGCGGAATTTGGAGCAGGCCAGCGTCAGCCTCACCGCCGTCTCCAGGGACACGCGGTGTCCCACCGACACGTACACAGGGTTAGAGCAGAGAGACGAGGGGCGTACAGCCTGGACACACACAGAGACACACAGACACAGAGACACACACACAGAGAGACACACACACAGACACAGAGACACACAGACACACAGACACAGAGAGACACACACACAGACACAGAGACACACAGACACACGGTGTCCCACCGACACGTACACAGGGTTAGAGCAGAGAGACGAGGGGTGCACAGCCTGGACACACACAGAGACACACAGACACACAGACACAGAGAGACACACAGACACAGAGACACGCAGTGTCCCACCGACACGTACACAGGGTTAGAGCAGAGAGACGAGGGGCGTACAGCCTGGACACACACAGAGACACACAGACACAGAGACACACACACAGAGAGACACACAGACACACAGACACAGAGACACGCGGTGTCCCACCGACACGTACACAGGGTTAGAGCAGAGAGACGAGGGGCGTACAGCCTGGACACACACAGAGACACACAGACACACAGACACAGAGACACAGAGACACACAGACACAGAGAGACAGACACACAGACACACAGACACAGAGACACGCGGTGTCCCACCGACACGTACACAGGGTTAGAGCAGAGAGACGAGGGGCGTACAGCCTGGACACACACAGAGACACACAGACACACAGACACACTGACACAGAGAGACACACAGACACACAGACACACGGTGTCCCACCGACACGTACACAGGGTTAGAGCAGAGAGACGAGGGGCATACAGCCTGGACACACACAGAGACACACAGACACAGAGAGACACACACACAGACACACAGACACAGAGACACGCGGTGTCCCACCGACACGTACACAGGGTTAGAGCAGAGAGACGAGGGGCGCACAGCCTGGACACACACAGAGACACACAGACACACACACAGAGAGACACACACACAGACACAGAGACACAGAGACACACAGACACAGAGACACACACACAGACACACAGACACGCGGTGTCCCACCGACACGTACACAGGGTTAGAGCAGAGAGACGAGGGGTGCACAGCCTGGACACACACAGAGACACACAGACACACAGACACACAGACACAGAGAGACACACAGACACACAGACACACAGACACAGAGAGACACACAGACACAGAGACACGCGGTGTCCCACCGACACGTACACAGGGTTAGAGCAGAGAGACGAGGGGCGTACAGCCTGGACACACACAGAGACACACAGACACAGACACAGAGAGACACAGAGACACACAGACACACACACAGACACAGGGACACGCGGTGTCCCACCGACACGTACACAGGGTTAGAGCAGAGAGACGAGGGGCGCACAGCCTGGACACACACAGACACACACACACACAGACACACACACAGACACACAGACACACAGACACACAGACACACAGACACACACACACAGACACACAGACACAGGGTTAGAGCAGAGAGACGAGGGGTGCACAGCCTGGACACACACAGAGACACACAGAGACACACAGAGACAGAGACACAAAGACACAGAGACAGACACAGAGACACGCGGTGTCCCACTGACACGTACACAGGGTTAGAGCAGAGAGACGAGGGGCGTACAGCCTGGACACACACAGAGACACACAGACACACAGACACAGAGACACAGAGACACACAGACACAGAGAGACACACACACAGACACACAGACACAGAGACACGCGGTGTCCCACCGACACGTACACAGGGTTAGAGCAGAGAGACGAGGGGCGTACAGCCTGGACACACACAGAGACACACAGACACACAGACACACTGACACAGAGAGACACACAGACACACAGACACACGGTGTCCCACCGACACGTACACAGGGTTAGAGCAGAGAGACGAGGGGCATACAGCCTGGACACACACAGAGACACACAGACACAGAGAGACACACACACAGACACACAGACACAGAGACACGCGGTGTCCCACCGACACGTACACAGGGTTAGAGCAGAGAGACGAGGGGCGCACAGCCTGGACACACACAGAGACACACAGACACACACACAGAGAGACACACACACAGACACAGAGACACAGAGACACACAGACACAGAGACACACACACAGACACACAGACACGCGGTGTCCCACCGACACGTACACAGGGTTAGAGCAGAGAGACGAGGGGTGCACAGCCTGGACACACACAGAGACACACAGACACACAGACACACAGACACAGAGAGACACACAGACACACAGACACAGAGAGACACACAGACACAGAGACACGCGGTGTCCCACCGACACGTACACAGGGTTAGAGCAGAGAGACGAGGGGCGTACAGCCTGGACACACACAGAGACACACAGACACAGACACAGAGAGACACAGAGACACACAGACACACACACAGACACAGGGACACGCGGTGTCCCACCGACACGTACACAGGGTTAGAGCAGAGAGACGAGGGGCGCACAGCCTGGACACACACAGAGACACACAGACACACAGACACACAGACACAGAGACACAGAGACACAGCGGTGTCACACAGACACACAGAGACACAGACACACAGAGACACAGAGACACAGGGACACGTGGTGTCCCACCGACACGTACACAGCCTGGAGACACACAGAGACACAGACACAGAGAGACACGGTGGTGTCACACAGACACAGAGACACAGAGACACGGCGGTGTCACACAGACACACAGAGACACAGAGACACGGCGGTGTCACACAGACACACAGAGACACAGAGACACGGCGGTGTCACACAGACACACAGAGACACAGAGACACACAGAGACACAGAGACACACAGAGACACGGCGGTGTCACACAGACACACAGAGACACAGAGACACACAGAGACACAGAGACACACAGAGACACGCGGTGTCACACAGACACACATAGACACAGAGACACAGAGACACGGTGGTGTCACACAGACAAAGAGACACAGAGACACAGAGACACGGCAGTGTCACACAGACACACAGACACACAGAGACACAAAGACACACAGAGACACGCGGTGTCACACAGAGACACAGAGACACACAGAGACAGAGACACAGAGACACAGAGACACGGCAGTGTCACACAGACACACAGAGACACAGAGACACACAGAGACACAGAGACACACAGAGACACAGAGACACACAGAGACACACAGACACACAGACACACAGAGACACAAAGACACACAGAGACACGCGGTGTCACACAGAGACACACAGAGACACACAGACACAGAGACACAGAGACACAGAGACACAGAGACACGGCAGTGTCACACAGACACACAGAGACACAGAGACACACAGAGACACAGAGACACACAGAGACACAGAGACACACAGAGACACACAGACACACAGACACACAGAGACACACAGAGACACACAGACACAGACACACAGAGACACAGAGACACAGAGACACGGCAGTGTCACACAGACACACAGAGACACAGAGACACACAGAGACACAGAGACACACAGAGACACAGAGACACACAGAGACACGCGGTGTCACACAGAGACACACAGACACACAGATACACAGAGACACGGCAGTGTCCCACTGACATGTACACAGGGTTAGAGCACAGATAAGAGGGACGAACATAGACACAAATACACAACAGCATCCGTTCAGCACCAGGTGAAGATGACATCACCACGGCGCCTGTTGCAGGCTAGGTGCACTTTGAGGCCACGTGAAATGCACACGTAGACACACATTGTACACACACACACACACAAGTGTTTCTGACAAAGCCATTTAACACCCAGACCCAGGGCTTGAACCCAGGGTCCCACTCGAGGCAGTGAGGTGGTTGTCACCATTCCCAGAATCTTTCCAGAATTCCCGACGAGTGGGAATGTGTCTCCTTTTCCATTCAGAGCCTTGATCTGAAAAGAATAAAAATATAAAACCACAGTCACACATTTGCCGTTCCACATTACGTCCCCTACATGACAGCACTTGCACCAGGAGGGCATTTCGCGACCAACATTG